ATCCTTTTGAAAGGTTCGTGGGTGATTCAAAGCAATCGGTGGAAAATAACGCTAAAGTTGAAGGATCAATATGTGCACATTACTTGCATCGAGAAGCATCTCATTTTTGCAGTCACTATTTCAATCACTTGATGTTACCTCCAAAAATCATAAGGAATCCTATAAAAGTTAATGAAAGAAGTCAATTTACCTTATCAGTCTTCAGACTTCCTGGGCGTCCCTCTAGAAAGAAGGATGTGCATTGACTGACTCAAAAAGAAATGCAATCAGCACATGTTCATGTCTTAGTTAACTGCGTTAAAGTTAAACCGTATCTTGAGTAAGTATATCCCAACTGTTTAATATTATTTACCGTATGAATACAAAAATTATTACCTTGAAACTTATAGTGTGTTTCTTTATAGGAAATTTAACATCTCCTACTTTCATAGCACCGGTGTACAAGCAACATCCGATCACATACATGCTCATTTTCCAGCATGGTTCAAGGAGAAATTGTCATGTATTGTTGCACCGACTCAAGAAATACTCCATCTGAGAAACTTGTCTGAAGGCCCTATTCAAAGCACAAATGAATGGCACACATACTTCGTGAATGGATATAAATTTCACACTGAGACATGGACTGAAGGGAAAAAAAACCATAAATAGTGATGTATTTGTAAAAGGAGTTACAGATGGTGGTGAGGATGACTTATATGGATTTGTTAAACATATCTACGAGCTGGTATACAATTATTTGGACTCAGAAAATAAAGTTGTCTTGTTTTATTGTGACTGGTACGATCCATCAGCCAGAGGTACAAAAATAGATAAGACTTATGGTGCTGTGGAGATTCGAATGGACCGAAGGTACAAAGAGTATGACCCTTTCATAATGTCACATATTGTTAGACAAGTTTACTATGTTCCTTATCTTTCAATTGTACCATGTAAACGAGGGTGGTCTATTGTAATCAAAACAAAACCATTGGATCATATTGAAACTGGAGATCTATTGGAAGATGTTGCCTACCAAGTTGATGAAGTTGAACAAATTAATGATGTGATTGCAGTTGAAAAAATTACAAGTTTGTCTGATACAACTGTTGAGGGGCATCGAGTTGATGCGTCTATATTGTTGGATGAAAATGACAATCAAGCCGAGCATGAAGAGTTTGGATCTGAGGATAATATCACATCATATTATGATAATGATATGGATGAACATGATTTTGAATAAATTATTTGTGTAATTTAACTTGATAAAACCTTGTATTGAATGTGTTATCAATATATATATATATATATATATATATATATATATATATATATATATATATATATATATATATATATATATATATATATATATATATATATATATATATATATATATATATATATATATATATATATATATATATATATATATATATATATATATATATATATATATATATATATATATATATATATATATATATATATATATATATATATATATATATATATATATATATATTTGATTGTGTTTTTTAAGATTTATTATTTTTTTGTTCATGAATATATATTAAATGTGTATTCTATATAAATAGGTAAAATGCCACCTCGAACTGATAAAAATAAGAGTAAGAAGTCCCAACGTCCAAGGGTAGTAGTATGTCAGGCACCTCAGTCGGCCATGTTTCCTCCTCCGTAGAGTTAGTTAGATTATATGTCCATGGCCAGTTCTCAGCCTTTCATGATATTGATCTCCCCTCAGGAGTATCCAGCTTTTATTAGCCCATTGGGGGCTCCAGCTTTTATTATCCCATCTAGGGGACCAATTTTTATTAGCCCATCTGGGGGGCCTAGTTATCCATATCAGCAGTCTGGGGGACCTAATTATCCATACCAACAGGTACCCTCATCCTTCACACAGTCTGGGGGATTTACCTTTCCACTTCCCTACCAGCAGGTTCCCACACCCTTCATGCAGTCGGGGGGATCTACTTTTCCAAGCCCCCTATAGGTACCCTCATCATTCACACAGTCTGAGGGATCTCACCCCGCACAGACCACACATGTACCTTTAACATCCATACATATACCTATGCGTGAGTATAATGATGAGGAGACAGATGATGACGATCATGAGGTGGATGATGAGGAGGCAATTGAGGACGATGATGAGGAGGCTCCCAATGATGAGGTGGTTCAAATCATTAATGGAAGATATTTTATTTACCCCAGCGGAAATTCGTAAGTTTTAAATTTTTAAGTATACATGTTTCCATTTTTTATATTGACTTATATTTCATATTAATATAAATTATTGATGTTTAGTTTTGACCCGAGTCGGACTGCTGCCTAGTGTATAACTTATGTTATTCAACATAAGTATAAAAAAGCTTGGAAGAGATTTAGAGAAGTTAAGGGGGAAGAAAGAGAAGTTTGGTTTAATTTATTTAAGGTATAATTAATTTATTTATTTTAAGTTATGTAATTTATTTTTTAACTTATTTTTGTTTTAATTATTTTTTTAATAGAATTGTCTAACTGTTTTATTTGGATGTCTTACAACATTGTAGGAAAAGTGTACATGGGAAAAAATGAATGAGAAAGAGGTTAGAAAAAACTATTTTGGCATAACAACAGTTCGACTTTCTGACATGCTACAGTGTGCTAGAAAGCGTTGGGAACTTGAAAATATTCGTCCCAACTGGATAGGCAAAGAAGTTTTCGATGAACTTATTTATTGGAATTCAGATGCTGAGTTTAAGGCAAGATCTAAAAAAGCAAAGAAAATGAGAGCATCTGAAAAATGGGGTAGCCTTAATGCAGTTGGAAGTATAAGTATTGTCGAACATGTTCGGCGCATGGTAATTATTACTTCTATTTTATGTTATATTATGATTTATTATATATTTTTAATTAAAGTTAATTTTATTAGTTAGGAAAAGAGATTGGGGAGACCTCCACTCATGACTGAACTAGTTGTAAAGACTAGAACAAAGAAATCAGGGGGGTTTGTTGATGAACGCACCAAAAAAGTTGTGGTAAGTAAATCGTTTTACTTTATTTAATTTTTATTTTATTATTTTTACTTAATAAAAATTTTGTGACGTGATTATCACGTGGCAACTGAGATATTGTGGCGTGAAAATCACAGGAAAAAATTTATTATTTAATTTAACTTAAATTATTTAAGTTATATTCAATTTAGTTTTTTTTTTTTAATTTTATGTGTAGGAGGATTACCAAGTATTGCTCACACAATTTTTGATAGAGAATCCTCAGTATACTCCAAGAGGTTCCGAGCCGTTTAATCCACGAGTGGATTTTTACATCTGGGGTTTAGTAACTAGCGGAAAAGGACCGAATGGATGTTTATTTGGTGTTGGAGCTTTGGCCAGTGGCATGAGAAAAGGGGACAAAACTCTATTTTAAAGAGTTAGAGATGGTGAGGGAACGTCACATCCACCACAATTGACCCCCGGGATGCTAGAAACGGTAAGGCAGCTGGCGCTAACTGAAGCTTGACGCGAAACGGCGGCCCATATGGAGGAGCAACAACGTTAGATAGAGGCAACGAGTAAGAGGCAAGCTGAAATGCAGGCGATGATGCGCCAATTTATGCCATCACAAGGTGGCGGTAATCCAGTTGTTGAAAATGAAGAAGTGGGTGGTCAACAACAGTTGGATGACGAGGATAACAATGATTTTGACATTGAAAGTTTTCCCGATCCGGATTGATCCGAATCATTTATTGTAGTTTTAAATTTTTATTTTTGTAAAATATTAATTACATTTTAGTATATTATACACTTTTTATTTAAAAAATTTATTCTTAATTTTGGTATTTATTTATATTTATTAATTTTTCAATTTAAATTATTATTGAAAATAATTTGTATTTATTAATTTTTCAATTTAAATTATTATTGAAAAATTTTAAAAATAATTTGTATTTATTAGTTTTTCAATTTAAATTGTTATTGAAAAAATTTTAATAATAAATTTTTATTTTAAAATAATTATAAAAGCAAACTATAATTATCATTTTAAATTTAAATAAAAATATAAATTATTTTTAAACATACCAAAAAATTAATCATATTAAAAAATTTAAAAAAAAAACACTTAGCCACGTGATATTCACGTCGCAAGTTGTGAAGTGAAAATCACGTCGCAACTTGCCACGTGAATATCACGTCGTAAATTGTCACGTGAATATCACGTCACAACTTTCTTACATACGTACTATATTTTATTTGTTGCGACGTGAAAATCACGTGGCAAAGTTGTGACGTGATTTTCACGTGGCAACAAAGTTGCCACACGTCCTCCTGCCACGTGAATAGTCATGTCGCTAATACTAGTTTATGAAGTGATTTTCCAAGTTGTGAAGTGAATTTCACATGACAAGATTCAATTTTTTTTGTAGTGGTTATATTAATATGTTATGTAGATTTATTAAAAAAAAAACACAATTTATAAAACAAATTTATTTTAAAAAATATAATTTAAAACAAATATAATTTGTAAAATAACTTTTTAAAAACCAAAATTTTAAAACAAATAGAAAAAATATTAATTCAAAAATAATTAATATTAAGTTTATTTTTATTAGGTTAAAATGTATAACTAGATTTTATATTCAAAATATGTTATGTAGATTTATTAAAAATAGAATTGTAATATTTGTATTTATATTTTTATAGTAAGAAAATATTTTTAAAACAATATTATAAAATGTAGAGTATTTTTATTTAAGTAATATTTTTATTTATATTTGGTTAAACTATAACTTAATATTTTTATTTAAGTAGGTATATATGCTAAGTATAGTTATAAAATGTATAATATGTATTTATGAAATGTACAATTTGATATAGTACGAAATATAGTTATTTTTAAAACAATGTGAAAAGAATTATATTATTTCTCATATATTCAAATCACATTTTTAATTAAAATTATATATAATGATAGTACAAATGTGCAGTATGAAATATTTTCGTTACTATCGTAGTTGAATGTACGATAGAATGTTACCAGACAGACGTGAACTTACACCAAATTTTGAGGAAGGAGTTAAATGGTTTATCATGTGGGCGTTTGCTCAAAAATGTTGTCAAACTGAAGGAGGAGTAAGATGTCTTTGTCTTAAATGTGAATGTAGACATATAATTAGTGACCTAGAGAAAGTAGAACGTCATTTGAAGAGGAGGAGTTTCATTAAATATTATTGGGTTTGGACATATAATGGAGAGCAACTGCCGAGTAACGTATATGCAGAGACAACTAATACACAAGCGTCAAGCAGTCGATCACATATGGAATTTGAGGAAAACTTTAACCTGATAGATGATATGGTTTGCAATGCCTTTGGAGTAAATGTGACATATGATGAACCTCAAGATATTGATGGGGAAAAGTTGTCGAATTAGGAAGCGCAAAGATTTTACCAATTGTTGAAAGAAATGAATACGTCGTTGTTTAAGGGTTCGATAGATTCAAATTCATCAATGTGTGGGAGATTATTGGCCGCAAATTCAAATTGGAATGTTCCTGATCAGTGCACAGAATACTTTGCAAAAATGATGTTGGATGCGACTCCTTCGAAAGAAAACTTGCCTACAAGTTATTATGATGCAAAGAGGTTGTGTCGAAGTTAGTTTTAGAAGTACAAAATATTCATTGTTTCATAAATGAATGCATGTTTTTATATGACAATGAGTTCGATACTAATGATGGGGCGCTGGAGGAATGTAAGTTCTGTAAGAGTCCGAGATATCAAGTTCGTAGTAAAGTCATTAACCGTAAACAAAAATGTATAGCAGTGAAGTCCATGTTTTATTTTCCTATAATACCAAGGTTAAAAATATTTTTTGCTTCAATGCATAGTACAAGTCACATGACATGGCATCCTAAAAACAAAACATGTTCATACACTATCCGACGTCCATCTGATGGTGAGGCATGGAAGCATTTTGATAGGGTACATTCTGATTTTGCTGCAGAACCTACAAATGTCAGGCTTAGATTATGTTCTAATGGTTTTACTTCATATGTCCAAGCGTCCACAATTTTATATTCTTGTTGCCCAGTTATCGTAACCCCTTACAACCTCCATCCAGAGACGTGCATGACAAAACCATACATGTCTTTGACTTGCCTCATTCTAGGACCGTCAATTCCTAAAGCCAAAATCGATGTGTACTTACAACCTTTAATATATGATTTAAAGAGGTTGTGGATTGGAGAATGGACTTATGATATATCTCGCAAACAAACTTTATTTTGCGAGCTGCCTTGATTTAGACTATTAATGACTTTCTTGCATATGGAATGATATCTGGTTGGGATACACACGGAAGAATGGAACGTCCGCATTGCATGGAATTTACAAAGGCTTTTACTTTGGTATTTGAGGGGAAAGTTCGTGGTTCGACTATCACCGTAAATTCCTACCACGAGACCATGTCTTTAGAAGAAATAAGACTGATTTCAAAAAATATGTACGAGTAAAAGATTTGCCTCCTCCTCGATTGTCATTAGAGGAAATATGGAATCGAGTTTCTGAACTGCCAAAATTCACAGATTATGGTGAAGCATCCAGAATTCAAGGATATGGGGTCAAACACAATTGGACAAAAAGAAGTATACTTTGGGACCTCCCATATTGGAAAGATGATTTGTTGCGACATAATCTTGATGTTATGCATATTGAAAAGAATTTTTTCGATAATATATTTAATACAATGATGGATGTTCAAGGCAAAACAAAATATAATGAGAAGGTTAGAAGGGACATGGAAATTTTGTGTGATAGAAAAGACTTGGAGATCCCAAAATTTCCATGTCCCTTCTAGCTTTCTCATTATCATTTGTTTTGTCTTGAACATCCATCACTATGTTAAATATATTATCAAAGAAATTATTTTCAATATGCATAACATCAAGATTATGTCGCAACAAATTATCTTTCAAATATGGGATGTCCCAAAATATACTTCTTTTGTCCAATTGTGTTTGACCCCATATCCTTGAATTCTGCATGCTTCACCATAATCTGTGAATTTTGGCAGTTCAGAAACTCGATTCCATATTTCCTCTAATGACAATCGAGGAGGAGGCAAATCTTTTACTCGTACACCTTTTTTGAAATCAATCTTGTTTCTTCTAAAGAAATGGTCTCGTGGTAAGAATATGCGGTGACAGTCGAACCACGAACTATTCCCCCCAAATTCCAAAGTAAAAGCCTTTGTAAATTCCATGTAATGTGGACATCCCATTTTTCCATGCATACCCCAACCAGATAACATTCCATACGCGGGAAAGTCATTAATAGTCCACATCAAGGCAGCTCGCAAAGTAAAGTTTTGTTTGTGAGATATATCATAAGTCCATTCTCCAATCCAAAACCTCTTCAAATAATCTATTAAAGGTTGTAAATAAACATCAATTTTGGCTTTAGGAATTGACGGTCCTAGAATGAGGCAAGTCAAAAACATGTATGGTGTTGTCATGCACATCTCTGGAGGGAGGTTGTAAGGGGTTATGATATCTGGCCAACAGAAATATGCAATTGCAGATGCTTGGACATATGGAGTTAAACCATCAGAACATAATCTGAGCCTGACATTTCTAGGTTCTGCAGCAAAATCAGAATGTACCCTATCAAAGATGTTTTCATGCCTCACCATCAGATGGATGTCGCATAATGCCTGAACTTATTTTGTTTGTATGATGCCATGTCATTTGACTTGCACTGTGCATTGAAGCAAACAATCTTTTTAACCTTGGTATTATCGGCAAATAAAACATGGACTTTACTGCTACACGTTTTTGTTTACGGTTAATGACTTTACTACGAACTTAATATCTCGGACTCTTACAGAACTTACATTCCTCCAGCGCCTCATTATTAATACCAAACTCATTGTCATAAAACAACATGCATTCATTTATGTAACAATCAATCTTTCATACTTCTAAACCCAACATTGAGACCAACCTCTTTGCATCATAATAACTTGTAGGCAAGTTGTCTTTCGAAGGAGTCGCATCCAACATCATTTTTGCAATGTACTCCAAGCACTGATCAGGAACATTCCAATTTGACTTTGCGGCCAATAATCTCACACACATTGATAATGACCCCTCAAACAACGGTGTATTCATTTCTTTCAACAATTGGTAAAATCTTTGTGCTTCTTCATTCGACAACTCTTTCACTTCAAAATCTTGAGGTTCATCGTATGTCACATTTACTCCAAAGGCATTGCCAACCATATCATCGATTGGATTAAATTGTTCCTCAAATTTCATATGTGATCGACTGCTTGATGTGTGTGTATTAGTTGTCTCTGCATGTATGTTACTCCACAGTTGTTCTCCATTATATGTCCAAACTCAATAATTTTTAATAAAACCCTCCTCTTCAAATGACGTTCTACCTCCTCTGGGTCACTAATTATAGGTCTACATTCACATATAAGACAAGGACATCTTACTCCTCCTTCACGTCGACAACATTCTTGAGCAAATGCCCACGTGATAAATCCTTTAACTCCTTCCTCAAAATTTGGTGTAAGTCCATGTCTCGCCTGGTAACGTTCTATCTTACATCTAACTACGATAGTAAATTCCATACTGCATATTTGTACTATCATTATATATCACTAGCGTCCAGACGGGCACTTGTGTGCCCGTCTGTCCGCTTTTTAAATGCGCATGAATGAAAATATAAATGATATTTTTTGTTTAAATAAATTTTTTTAAAAATACAATAAGAAGAAGTTACATGGAAGTTAATAATAAGAAATTATTAAGTAAATTACATAATAAAGTAAGAGTAAAAATGGTAGAAAAATAAGTCACACCAAAAACTTGTATCCCCTTTATATATAGTTATAGATTGTAATTAAATATGTGATTTTACTATATGCAAAATAATATAATTCTTTACACATTGTTTTAATCTAATATAAATAAAAATATTACTTCAATATTACTTCATATTATACATTAACATCTAATTATACTCTACATTTTATAATATTGTTTTAAAAATATTTCCTTACTATAAAAATATAAAAATATAAATACAAATATAAAAATATAAAATCTTATTATACATTTTAACCTAAAAAAATAAATTTAATATTAATTATTTTCGAATTAATATTTTTCTATTTGTTTTAAAATTTCAATTTTTAAAAAGTTAGTTTACAAATTATGTTTGTTTTAAATTCTACTTTTTCTATTTATTTTATAATTTTGGTTTTTAAAAAATTATTTTACGATTTATTTTTGTTTTAAATTCTATTTTTTAAAATAAGTTTGTTTCATAAATTGTGTTTTTAATAAATCTACATAACATATTAATATAACTTTTCCATATTAGTTATACACTTCTTTTACAAGTAATTTAAAAAAAAATACTTTTTACTAAAAATACTTCTATTTAATAATTGAGTTTAATAAAAATATTTTTAAAAAAAAATTCTTTTTACAATTCTTTTTACTGAAAATAATTTTAAAAATCTGTTTTTTCTAATTCTTTTATAATCTCTATTTATAAACAAAAGTATGAAAAATTCTGTTTTTTTTAACTATAAATTCTGTTTTTTTTTAATTATGTTTTTAAAATATAACTTATAAAACATATTATATATTTTGTTTTTAATAAAAATAATATCTTTAAAAAAAATTATATTTTTACACAACAACAAGAACAACCAAACAACCAAATAAATAATCTTATAAAACCTAAATAATTTCCTATATAATCAATAAATTCTATTTTTATACAACAACATCCAAACAACTTCCATATACAATTTTATTCATATAAATCTGAAAAATAAATAATTTAAATTACAAAAATACTTTAATGGAGCAACAATAAAGTTTAAATCTTGATGAGCTCCTCTTAAATCCTCCAAATATTGTTCTTTTAACAAAAAAAATTAATAATTAATAATTAGAAAATATTAAAATAAAATGTAAAACGAAAATAAAAATAAAAAGAATAAAAAAATAATGAAGAAAACATAAATCATACATTTAACTTAAAATGAAAACTTGTTAAAAATGATGATATGGTTGGGAGTATATATAGTGAGTTATGGAAAGAAACAACTAATACCTTTAAGTTAAAGGTATGATTTATGTAGTGACAACTAATACACACACTTAAAAGGAAGAAGATACTGGAAAGAAAAGTGTGAAGAGTTCTGGAGAATTGGGAGTATATATAGTGAGTTTTGTGACGTGGTAAACACGTAAGAACATTACTAATATTTATTACCAGTTAATGTACTCAACGATAATATTAAAAGAAAGGCAAAAAAAAAGAAAGTATTTCCTAGTATTTGTGACGTGATAAACACTTGCGAAAGTAGCCACGTGAATACCACGTCGAAACTTTTCTAGTATTTAT